AGGGGGGGGGGGGGGACGGGGACGAGGGTACTGTCAGTGTCCTGCCATTGCAAAGGAGGAAGCAGATGTTAAATATGTCTGACTGATTCAGGGAAGAGGAGCATGCCTGCTGCTGCAGAGAAAGGCAAAGCCCCCCCTGCCAGTCTGACTGGGGGTAAAATATTAGATGTGCTCAGTTTTTCTTTGATTTTCCAAAGTGGTATGGAAAGGCTGCCTATAAAGTTAGCAGCAGCATGGAAAAAGTACAAATAAAGAAAGAGCTAAGATCCATGATGAGGGAGAAGGATGATGGGGGCTACTATAATGAATCTATAAATGAGGTTACGATTAATAGAACAGAAGTGAGGGGGAAATGGAGTAAGGACAATGCAAGTGTTACCTTGACCTTTTCCCTTTAACTGAACTGCAAGAGAACGAGTTAATTCTGCTTTTTTCTTGTTCCACCCAAATGCCATCCCCTCCTTTCCCCCGTCTCATCCACAGCAGGATATTGAGTAACATGCTTGACATTATCAGCACTAGCTCTCCCTAGCTGGTCATACGCTGTGGGCAGTGGTGTTCATGGGAGCTGCGGCCACCAACACTTTGACCCGTGATATAACTCTAATAAAAGAATCATCCCCCTCACCCCCCCCCCCCCAAAAAAAAATGACCCCCAGCTCTTAAAAACTAGGAGATGTCAGTAGACAATGCAGAGTTCTTTCATTTGCTTTGTGGGCTTGAAGTGTTTAGGTCTGACATTTTTCAAGATTTTATTTGCAACCATAAGGCCTAGGAACGGGCTCATTTTTGGAAGCTGAGACTCTCACAAAATCACTTGACTGCAGGATAAAAAAAACTTATCTGTGAAGGTGCATCTGTGCAACCCTCACTGTCCTCCAAATCACACACGGTATCATGCTCCAAAGTGCATTATAAAGTAGGATGCTCTTCGAAATCTACTTCACAGTGACCATTATAAAGGCTGAGTGGGAAAAGGTTTGGGCTGTTTCCTCTTGTGCTTCTTCATGAAGGTTTGAAGAGTTTGCTTGTGTTTTTAATCCTCTTTTTGCTTGCTCTTTTTCTACCCTGAAAGTCTATGAAAGCCAGGAGAACTAGTAGAGTTATGATATCCTTTCCCCCTCCAAGGGCTTTGTAGGTTTTGTAGTTAAACCAGCATAAAAAAAGATTAGATTTGTAAATAATTAGCTTGAAAAATCCCTTTCTCTGCCAATGACTTGGCTTTCAATCAGAAGTGATGTCATAATTCCTAAACCAGGGGCTTTTGCTCTCCCCATCTTTCATGTCCCCAGCTGTAAAATAAGGTAATGATCGCTCGCCTCCCTTTTTACTTGAGAAATCACGGTAAAGAAGTATTGGTGTCTAAGTGCTAAGTGGAATTGCTGTTCTGTTGCCCGATTTTGTCAGACCTCTCCTTATTGTCGTAGGCTTGTGAGAGTCCAGCTTGCTTCTGCCCCGAAGTCTCTGTCGTGCTCGCACGCGCAGCAAACGACTTGTGAGACCAAGTGTTTATAACTTTGCGTTAAAATGCAAATTTATATTCGAGCTGTAATATTTTAGCCTTGCCTTGCCTGAATTACAATACTTCTTCCAAAGAGAGATGACTGCTGGGACCCTGTCGATGGATGGATGCCTTTTGCACTGTCTGGACAGTGGATGATTTTAACATGAGACGCCTGATTCTGCAAAAGTCATTGGCTGCTTTTTTGTGAAATTGCTTGGGGTTTTCCTGGAATTTTTTTTTTTTTTGGACCAAAAACAGAAATGTGAAATACATGGCTGAAATTGGAAAAGTTTCTATTCATCTCTCCTTCCACCGGGACATACAGGAGCTGTAATGTGGCTCCCCCACACCTGTCTGCACTCTCCAACTGGGTGTTCCCTGACTCGGCCATGGCCATGGCTCCTTCACATCGCAGTTGTCCCACCACCGTGAAATGAAACCTCAGTTCGTCACGGGAAATAGAAATATAATCCCTGCCCAGAAATCATATAGCCCCTGAACTACAACTCCCAGGAGGCATCATTGCAGCGTTTAGCAACTGATTTCCATTCTTCTCCTTTTTCAAAATAGGGGGAACTGGACAAAAACTATGCCATTTTTTAAATATATATATTTTTGTAATCACAGAAAAGCCCATTTTCTGACCCGTTCGATTTTCTTAGCACGGCCCTCTGAACCCCGCGCCTTGCGGTTCCCAAAATGTGGGTTGCCACCCCAAATCGGGGTCGCAGCATCAGTGGGTAGGGTCACGGGGTGGGAAACTGTGGGTTGGGAGTGAGGGGGCCATGCTGAGGAAATGGGGTCATGGGAAGGAAATTGGGCCACAAATGGGGTCATGGGGAGGAAAAGAGGTCATAAATGGAGCCATGCTGAGGAAACGGGGTCATAAATGGGGTCATACTGAGGAAATGGGGTCATGTTGAGGAAATAGGGCCACGAATGGGGTCATGTGGAGGAAATGGAGCCATAAGTGGGGTCATGTGGAGGAAAAGGGGTCATAAATGGAGCCATGCTGAGGAAATGGGGTCATAAATGGGGTCATACTGAGGAAATGGGGTCATGTTGAGGAAATAGGGCCACGAATGGGGTCATGTGGAGGAAATGGAGCCATAAGTGGGGTCATACTGTGGAAATGGGACCATAAATGGGATCATGTTGAGGAAATGGAGTCATAAATGGGGTCATGTTGAGGAAATGGGGCCACAAATGGGGTCATGTGGAGGAAATGGAGCCATAAGTGGGGTCATACTGAGGAAATGGGACCATAAATGGGGTCATGTTGAGGAAACGGGGTCATGAATGGGGCCATGCTGAGGGAACCGGGCCATGAATCTGGTCTTGCTGAGGAAATGGGGCTATAAATGGGGTCATACTGAAGAAAAGGGAATGTAAATAGGGCCATGTTGAGGAAAGGGGGTCACAACTGGGGTCATGTTGAGGAAATGAGAACATAAATGGGGCCATGCTGAGGAACAGTTTGGGAAGCACTGCCCTGGCCCCCTATTCAGCCTGAGGGGAGAAACTACAACCCCCAGGATACCCTCGGCTTCTCTGCCTACATGTCCCACAATGCATCACTCCCCCCATAGGCGCCTCCCGCCCCCGGGACTCCATTTCCCAGCATGCCTTTTCCCAGGTTCCATTCCTCCCTTCCCCCCTTGCCCCGCCACAGCCGGGGGAACTACACGTCCCATGATGCCTCGCTGGCCGGCGACGCTAGGACTCCATCCCCCAGCATGCCCCGCCGCGGCTGCGGTTGGCCGCGGCCAATAGGAGCGTCGCACGGTGAGGGGCGGGGCGAGGGCGGGGCCGGACCGGGCGGCGGGGGTGGCCGTTTAAAGTGGCGCTCGCGGCGCGAGGGGGATGGCGGAGCTGTCGGACTACCCGCCCTTCCAGCTGGGGAAGCCCCGCTTCGAGCAGGTAGCGCGGCCGGGGGGGGAGGAGAGAGAGCTGCCCGGGGCCGCCCCCCACCTCCGCCCTGGGGGGACGTGGTGTCGCCCCCATTGAGGGGAGCCCCCCGCTCCCTCCGCCCCGATTGGTGGGATTCGCCCGCGCTCATTGGCTCCCCGCGGTGTCAATCATTGCGGTTGCTCTGGAGGCGGCTGGGGATTGGTGCTGCGCCCCCCTAGGGGCGGGCGCGTGCGGGCAGCGGGCATCTCTCCAAGCCCTAGGGGTGGGTGGCTGGAGGAGCCCTGGGGGATCAGCCTCCACTTGCCTCCCGGGGTCTGGGAAATGGGCGCAACCTTGTTTCACATGCACTTTGCACCTTGCTCCATAGGACAAACTGGCCTTTACTCAGCCCCATTCCCACGGTTGAGCAGCGTGGCAGCGGGGTGGGGGTGCGCTCCCTGTCCTGTTCTGAGTCCCCCAATACATGGGTAGGAGCGCTGGCAGCACATGGAGGGAAGCGGTTCTTCCCCTCTATTCAGCCCTGGTGAGGACACATCCAGAGTCCTGCGTCGGCTACCAAAAGGATGTGGACACACCGGAGAATTTGCAATGAAAATGGTTGTCGGGCTGGGGGACATGACTTGTGGTGGAGGCTGGGGGAAATGGGCTGATTGAGTCTGCAGAAGAGAAGACTGAGGGGGATTGAATAGGCGGCTTCACCTCCCTGCATTGGGGGTCAAAGAGGATGGAGCTGGGCTGTTCTCAGTGGGGGCAGATGACAGGACAAGGAGCAATGGGCTCAAGCTGCAGCAAGGCAAGTTGAGGCTGGATATTAGGAAAAACTTTCTCACGAGGAGGGACTGGAGAGGCGGTGGGACTCTCCGTCCCTGGAGGTGTTGAAGACCCAGTTAGACAAAGCCTTGTCTGGGATAATGTAGTCGGGGCTGGTCCTGCTTGGAGCAGGGGGTCAGACTAGATGCGACCTCCTGAGGTCCCTTCCCACCCTCGTGGTCTCATTCTCTGCTCTTTGTTGGATGCAGTCCTCTCTCCGCTGCTTGTACTTTTGTGATCAAGACGGCTTGGTAAATCGCAGAGAGAACAAGTTTGAGATACACGTGACTGTTCCGTCCCACTTTCCATTCGGAAACGGACTTCAGATGATTTTATTTCTTTTTTTTTTTGTAAGGCAAAAAAGCAGGAGATACTTATTTTATTGCAGAAGAAACACTTCCAGAAGGAGCAAATGTTGGGCGTGAGATTCTTTTAAGCCCAAACCCAAATATAAGTCTTAAGGCGTTTTTACCCTATGGTCGGATCGGCGCAGACTGGGGAGGGGGTTGCCTTCCCCTGCAGTGCGGGGCATGGTCCTCCACCCGGGACCTCTTGAGCGTATATTAATAACATTTTGTAGAAGTAGGACGGTGGCTGCTGTGGTTCCTCTGTCTTACCTGTGGCGGGTTTGGGTGTGAGGTCTGTGTTGTGCCGGGGTTGATTTTTATGTAGAGTTTAGATGATGGGTTTGCATGGGATGGTTTGGACAGGGCTGATCCTGCCTCGGGCAGGGTTGGACTAGATGTAACCCCCTGGACATCCCTTCCAGCCCCCACGTCTCCATGCTTCTATGCTGATTTTACTAGAATAGAGCTGAGTTTGTTTTCTTCCTTTTGACTTTGCAACAAATGAGCTTGTTTTTCCACCGAACGCTTGGGCAGCCTTGTACAGTTCTGTTTGTTTGTTCTCCTTTTAAAATGGCTTTGGGTTGAAGTTCAGCACAAAGGTGCAGTTGGCTGTGTAGGTGTCTGCTTTGGAAATTTCTAGGGAATACACCTGCTGTGATGCTTAAGAACATCCAGGCTGGACCAGAGCAGAAGCTGATCTTGCTCTGTCCTGTTTCTGACCTTGGCAAGTCGGAGATGCTTTAGAGGACAAGTATAAGGAAATAAGGTAGAAAGACCTGCCTGTCAGACCCTTTAATAAATCCTATTTCTAAGTTTAATAGCCCCCAGTAGCCCTATTCTCCATATATTTGTGTAATCCCTTTTTTTGAGCCTGGTTATGATTTTGGCCTCCAAAACCATCCTGTGGCAGTGAGTTCCACCTGTTCGCTATGCGCTGTGTAAGACACTGATGGTTGTAGCAGGCAGGAACTAGTGTAAATAGGGTGGGGTCCCCCCCATATGTCGCCTAGTCCAGAGCAGGGCTAGGAAGCCCTGTGATAAAAGATACCGACAGTCTGACCCCAGCCCAGGAGCTGCTTCAGTGCAAGAGCGGGGAGGTTTCTGTGGGAGACTGAGGAGGACCAGCCCCTGGTCTGGTGAAAGCTGGATGATTTTTCTTTTCCTGGATCTTTTCCAGGCTGAGTGGGGAGGATTTTTACCCTCGCCCATCCTAAAAACCTGTAACTGCTTTGAGGGGGCTGTTCTGGTTCACCGCCTGAAATGGCCACTTAACTATCTAATTGCTTGTTTGCACGATCTCTGTTCTGCCTTGTCAGGTAAAGGATTTATGTCTATAAAAGCTCTGTTGATAACCATATGTTGGCTATCCTGATACTGCTTCAGCACGAACGTGGGAGAGGGACATGCAGAGCATTCAGGAGTTTGCAGAAACATATTACACGTTGCAGTGCAGGCAGCAGGCCCCTCCATTTCAAATTTTCCCTTCTGATGGGTGCTAGGTAGGTAGGAAAGTCTGATGCTGACAGAGACAGTGGCCTACGTGAAATATGGAGGCAAAGAAAGCCAGTGTTAGTTTTGGAGCAGAGAGAGTTGGGTTGCATTCACAGCCCTGCCGTTTCTCTCCTGCAGAGAGACAGGTGGATTTTGTTCTTTGGGGTCTCCTCCGGCTCCTGGTTAATATTTGGCCTACAAAAACTTTCTTAAGTCTCATACAAATCCAAGTAAAGATCACCTGCAAGATTTTTCTTCCCTCCTAGACCATCACAGCAACATCCCCTCAATTGCTGTACCATAGACATTTCTTCTTTGGTAACTGTACCCTAAATGTTTTATTCTTTGGAGCAGTTGGGATCTTGTGGTAGAGGTGATATCCTTTATTATTTGGAGCATGCTTCAGCAAAAGCTAGTTTTGTTTTAACAAGCCAACCAAGAGTTAATGACAAGTCTTGCCTATTCCTTAGACTTCTCTGTCTCTGCTCCCCTCTCCTCCCAGCATTGGGAACTTGTCACTAAGGCCATAAGGCTTCCAGAGACTTTTTTTTGGTCTCCCGTTTTTAATCTGGACAGGATCGCAGTGTGACAGCGAAGTTGCCAACCAGTTGTCTTGCTAATTGCAGATCTCGGCTGCCCTGGACTGGGTTTTGGTTTTGGGTAGTTCGTGATATCATGCAAAGTTCAGTTGTTTGATGACCACCTGCTGCCAGAATCTGAGAAGCAAACTTACCTTGCTGCTTCCCTGCTTTGTTTCCCAAAGGAAGGGCAGGATGAACCCAGGACAGGGAGGAAGACGGGTTGGACGGGGAGGCAGGGGACCTGGGGAGCTACAGCAAGAACTCATGTGCAGCAAACGGCGTTTCTGCCGTGCCAAGAACCTGCTTGTCTGAATAAACAGCGGGGTGTTCAGGCTGACCAGAAAGGCTCTTTAATACGGGGAAAAGGAGGAGACGCTCCCCAGTCTCCCTCATAGACACCACAGATGATACCAGGCACACTTGGCAGGCCGTCAGGCACAGAACCAGGCGCATTCTGCTCATTAAGGAGTGATTGTCATTTGCAGCGATGTTTAGCAAAGGATTCAGAAGTGGGTATGGCAGGATGTTAGCAGAGCTGTCCTCGCCTCCCCGGGGCCTGCTGTGAAAGGAGCTGGGTGGGGTTCAGCCACGTGCCAGTGGACGTGTTCTCACGCCAGCAAAAGCTCCCTTGCTTCAGGGCCCTAGGTTGGCAGAAACCGGGCTTGCGCTGGGAGTAGAGGCAAACCTCCTCCATCCTCCCCTTTCAACCCCTTTCCAAAGTGACTTGATTCTTGTGGTCCTTGGTACATCTGCTAACCAGTGGCACGTGCCTAAAGGGGAGGGCATTTGGGTGGTGGTAGGGTGCCCGAGACTGGATGGGCAGAGGGTGTGCTCACACTCGAGCAGAGCTGGGGGATCGGTGGAGACGGACCCTCTGCATGTGAGCGTGGATAATACGCCAATGCTTTACCCGCTGTGTCAGGTAGCCCTGCAGATCTAGATGAGACGGTGGTTAAAAATCCTAGTGAGAGCATCCACTTAGCAACAGCGAGAAATGCTGTTCTTTAAATCCCCTCTCGGTTCCCTGGACCTACCCAAAAGGGTGGTCTTGTGCTATATTTGATGTGGGTTAAGAGTTCCTTGGTGGAGGGGCCTGCTTGGGAAGGGACGTATGTAAAGCCATAGAGATCATTATGGTCATATAATATTGCCTGAGATCTGCACTAAAAACCTACTTCTTTCTGGTGACTGTTCTGTCTCTTCATGGAGATGCTGGCTAGCAACAAACTTGTGGCCCTTTTAAGTGGAAATCTGAATAAAGCTAGAGATACAGTTGAGCTATATTAAGAATCTGTGTCCTTGAGGCACAACCCAAGGAAAGACTGCCTGCTAGGAACAAAACCCTTCAAGTGACGATCTTGCATTTATCGGGAAGTGGTTCATGGGAGATGAGCTGGTTTTGTGCTCCCTGTTCGTTCTCGGAGCTCGGGGAAGGTTGTTAGACACAATTTAGCATCGCTGACTGCAGCCCACCAGGCCCATCTGTACCATTGCAAGTGATGAAGCATCCCCCTTTTTCTCCCCACTTGCTTTTCCAATTCACCCGCTTTACTGGGATCGTGAACCATTCTCTGCCAAGTTTCCTTGCTGGGATTTGTTCGCTGCCTTCAGATCTAGGTTACGCGGCCTCTTGGGCAAAAGTGGCCTGCTTCTGAGGTAAATGAAGCCAGAAGGAAGTTAATCATCAGAAGAAGCAACTCTACAGGATATAGTAAAATCTCCCAGCAGTTATAGACCCGCAGTGAATGGAAGTCCTCTTGAAAGCCCCATCTGGGGGACA